GTATAATGTTTTGATACATTTTATAATCATTTTTCTGAATTCCTTCTCAGGCATTTCCAAAGCCTGCCCATCTTCCAGTATGGAGTGTAGGTCTATTTCCAGCTCATTTGTCTCAGTCACTTTATCTCGTTTCTGGACATGTGCTGATATGGTTATCTGCTTCTGTTTTGGGGGCATATTCAGGAGTTATCTGTGGCCTTAATACTTAGATGGGTGCATATTTTGGTATTTTTTATGCTTTCTGATTGCCTCCAGGTAGATATGATCAGGAGATGCGCTTCCCTTTTCACTCCTTTCAGAGAAAATTCAAGATGCCACTGTTGGTCTCTGTGATGTAACTCAGGATTTAATTTTTGGCCTATTTCCTTTTTAGTCTTGCCAGTCCCGCTCCACAATCCCCTTTCAGGCCTTTTTTTCTAGTTATGAACAGTCCAGGGCCAGCTGTGGCCATTTGGTTTTAAGTGGAAACTATCTCTATAAATTTTGAGGAGATCTGTGCGCATGTGTAGTAGAACCCTTGGGAGCTGGGGGTGGGGTGTCCACTCGCTCAGGCACTCCCTCTAGTCACCAGAATGGAGGTGCGCAGATAGCGAGAGACCAATGACTAGATACCGAAAAAACAAAAAAGAATGTCCACACCTTTATCTCCGTGATTCTGTTAGGCATCCGTGGCTGCTCGGATCCTTCCCCCACTCGGTCTTGCCCAAGATGGCAGCTCCTGGAGCAGCTGAGCATCTTGAATTAGAAAGCAATGGATTTCTTTGCTTCTGCTACAAATTCCCCTAGCTGTAAGCCTTCCAACCTTCTAAATATTCATTTATATGTGGTTCAGATTTCTGGCACCAACTCCTGAGCCTGCTTGGTCTGGTGTTCTGTGTTGTTGCTGACGGAGCTCTTCACTGCACTTCCACTCGATCCGCCATCTTATTTGTTCTCCTCTTACACTGGTTTTTGTCTTAAATTCTGGTTTATCAGAAATTAATATTGTCACTCATGCTCATTTCTATTTCCATTAGCTTGATACATTTTTTCCATCCTTTGATTTTTCATCTGTTTTTTGTCTTTGTGTGTAAGGTGTGTCTCTTATAGACAGCATATGGAAGGATCCTGTTTTCTTATCCATTCTGCTACTCTCTCTTAACTGGTGCAATCAACCCACCAGTGTCATTATCAATAGGTATCAAGTACTTGCAGTCATTTTGCTGTGTGTGTTTTTTGTGGTGCTGGTGGTTTCTTCCATAAAAATTTCTGTGCTGAGTTCATTTTGTCTGTGTGTTTTCTTGTCAATTTTTTCATTGCTGTTAGTTTAATGTTTACTAAATCTTCATGGTTTTCCTTTTTCTTGATTTGATGTGAAGGTGTATTAATTTTCCTTGAGGTTACTCTGTAATTTATTACTTTATTCCCTGGTTTAAAGCAGTCTGCAACAACTTAAACACTTAGATAAACTGAGTATCTGGCACATATTCAAATGTTTTTAGTAGGAGTTTTCCTGAAGCTATATTAAGAAAACATCTATATTTTATGATAGAAAATACTTAGGAAACTTTAAGCAGGGTTTTATAATAAACATGAGAAAACTATTATTATCAAATCTAGCATAAGTGTTGCAATTAAGAAAAAATGTAATTTGCTATTTTTTTTCAATAGTAATGTAAGATCAAGTAAGAAATAAAATGTATAATACTATTAATTTTAGCAAAACTCAAGTCCATGTTTTCAATGTAGTTTTTGTACTTAAAGGAACCCTGGTGGAGCAGTGGTTAAGCATTTGGTTGCTAAAGTTGGTTCAAACCCACCAGGCACTCCAGGAGAGAAAATACCTGGCTATCTGCTCCTGTAGCATAGTGGTTATGAATCGGGCTGCTAACCTTAAGGTTGGCAGTTCAAAACTACCAGCTGTTCTGTGGGAGAAAGATGAGGCTTTCTGCTCTCGTAAAGATTTACAGCCTCAGAAACCCTGTACAGGGTCACTATGAGTTGGAACCGACTCCATGGTACTTAACAACAACAACATCTGCTCCTGTAAACATGTCAGCCTTGGAAACCTTATGAGATGGTTCTACTCTGTCAGACAGTGTTGCTGTGAGTTCAAACTGACTCACTGATAATACAACAACATGTGTAATTAACAGGATGAGCTGTTCCGTACTCTTGCATCTTATAAATTAATTGCACCAAGATATAGATGGCATAGAAGCAGATGGGGCCGTACATGTCCTGTGACTTTAAAGGAAGGTAACATTTCTTCAGGAGTACCAGATTGTTCTGTGAGGTAAGTACAGCTTTCAGAACTTAATTTTGAAAACTTGTTTGCACATTTGGTCAGTTACTTATCATTGTGGTCAATTTTAAGTTTTCTAGGTAAAATGTACTGTCTTTCATCAGAAGAAGCATTAAAAACATTTTCATTGAATCCGCGTCCCTATCTACTTCCACCTATGCCAGTGCCACCATGTAAAGTATTCATATTTGGACCTCAGTCTTCAGGGAAAACAACACTTAGCAGTTTGCTTGCTGAAAAGTATAAAGGAAAGGTAATGCTATCTGTTTATAGACCTGTCTGTCTCTGCTTGTTTACAGTTTGTAGGATTTTATTTGTATTCACTTATTTTATACTGTCACTTGGATAATTGTGGTGGTGGTAGTGTGTCATTGAGTCAGTTCCAAATCATAGCTACCCTGTATAGAGCTTCAGAGGTGGGGCTGGTGGGTTTAAACCGCTGACTTTGTGATTTAAACTGACCTTGCAGTCCAGTGTTTATCCTATAGTGCCATACCAGAATATATATAATGAATGCTGAGGAGGCTTCAAAAGTTATGGAAAAATGGATTTAAAAGATAGATAGTGGAATTTTTTTTCCATTTTGAAGCCCCCTTATGTGTGTGCATGTGTGTGCGTGTGTGCATGTACAGGCTGTATCTTCAGTTTTCACAGTAATTTATGCTTTATGTTGGTTTCCTTATGTAATCTTTGCAGGTTGTTGACTATGCCAAACTTGTTCAACCACGTTTTGATCAAGCCCTTGAAAAATTAATTGGAAATAATATAGCTGAAATCACGGAAACATCCATTAAAGTTGTACAAGAAAAACTTCTTGTAGAACTACAAAATAAAAGACAAGGTGAACCATCTTTTTTACAATCTATATAATTTAGTTCAGGTGTGTTTTAAGTTTCAGGAACTAATTAAGTCTAGCTACTTGAGGACAAAGGAGTTCTGGTAGCATAGTGGTTACGAATCAGGCTGCTGTCCTCAGGGTCAGCAGTTAGAAACTACCAGCTGTTCCACAGGAGAAAGACGAGGCTTTCAGCTCCCATAAAGATTTACAGCCTCGGAAATGCTGTACAGGGTCGCTATGAGTCAGAACTGACTCCACGGCACATAACAACAACTTGAGGACAAAGACTTTGTTTTGCTGATCTTGGTAGCAGTAGCAGTTAGTGTATTGTTGTCTCTTAGTAAGTGGTTGAAGGAGTGAGTATATATAAATCCATTTTAGATCTCTAAGAAAAGGAATAGGAAAGAGCTTACAATTTGGATTTATTCACCTTTGTAGGTCAAAAACTGAGCAGTATTTACACCTTTATCTACACCAGCCATTAAAACAACAATCCATGTGGCTCTTGTGGTACTGTTTTGTTTTGTTTTAAGGTTATATGTCAGCCCTGATTGCAGTGAATTTATCTATCTGGTGAATATTAATTTCAAATTCAGAAGGTCATAAAGCAGTGGATGTGGAAAAAGCCTTACTGATCAATTAACACAATTCTCTAATTTTATCAATGTGGAAACTGAGGCCCATGGAAGTTTAAAAAAAAAAAAAGACAAAATTAAATCCATCCCCATCGAGTGGGTTCCAACACATAGTGGTCCTATAGGTTATAGTAAAACTGCTCCATACAGTTTCCAAGGCTGTAATCTTTACAGAAGCAAACTGCCCCATCTTTCTCCTACAGAACAGCTGGTAGGTTCCAACAGCCAACCTCCAGTTAGTAGCCATTAACTTCTGTGCTCCAAAAATCAAACCCACTGCCATTGAGTGAATTCTGGCTCACAGTGACCCTGTATAGGGTCTCCTAGAGTGTAAATCCTTACAGGAGCAGACAGCTTCATCTTTCTCCCACAGATCAGTTGGTGGGTTTGAACTGCCGACCTTATTTGCTCTTTCTGTGCTCCATATGAACATTAAATGGTTTCTTTAAATTCACCAGCTAGCAGCATAACTGAGACTTGAGCCCCTGGTTCCAAAATCCTCATAAAGTCGTCTTTGTCCGTCCCAACCCTTCTGCTGCTGGCTGCATCTCACAACACCTTATCACATTATTTTTGAATCAACACAAGGAGCTTTTTTCTGGTTTCCTGAGGAAAAACTAGAGTACTTATTTGAATGGCTACTTTTGAAATTCATTGACTGAATTTGGTAGAATTTATATCTATTGTTAGCACCCATGTAGTTGGTCCCATTAGAACACATGAGAGTGGGTTCATGTAAAACATCTCTTCTTAATAGAATGCCCTGGATGCAGTACTTTGTATGCACTAGATAGAATCTGCTCACTTTCAAAGATCTTGATCCATAATTCAGAATTAACACCATCAATTTAAGACTAGATTTGACCACTACTGTTTGGAGTCCCTAGAGATGTGGCAATGTCCTGTCCCTAAATATGACCAGCACAGCTGTGATTCCAAATATTCTTTTTCCTATAAAGGTTTCTTCATTATTAAAGTAATTCTAGGTCTGAATTCCAGTCCCAGTTGTCATCACAAGAGTGAATGGAACGCCCACAACCCCTCTCTCTATAATAAAGTGCCGTAGAATGTGTCGCAGATGTCAGCACTGCAGTCAGCTGGTTGACAGATATTTTCTATTGAGCATCACTATAAAGAGTTCCATGTGCAAAAAAAAAAGTAATTATAACTAATATTTATTGAACAGTTACTGTATGCAGGAGGTATGCATGCATGATCCTGTTTTATCCTTACAATAGTTCTATGAACTAAGTATTTTTCCTTTTTACTACATGAAGAAACTGAGACTCAGAGAGAGTATGTAATTTTCCCCCAGTTAACAGTCTACAAGTGATTGGGATTCAAAACCATGTCTACACTCTTGTCCTCTCTGTGTCTGAAGTGTTCACAGAAAATTGGAAAACAAGGACAGAAGAAAAAGTCATACATATTTCTACTCCCCAGAGACTCCCACTTCCCTCTCATTTTTCTATTCATTTTGGTAATGATTCATTGTGATCTGATGGAATATGGTTTTTTTAATACTCATGTCCTAGTGTGGCACTGTAGGATCAGCACTGGACTGTTAACCACAGTGTTGATGGTTCAAGCCCACCAGCCACTCCTTGGACACCATATATAGGGTCGCTATGACTCAAACTGACTCAATGGCACTTAACAACAACAACATGGACAAATTAGGAAGTAAAATTTATTCTGGTTTATAGACTACACAACTGAATGTAGCTTTAGTAAATAAAGCATATCAGTGATAATAACCAAGTTCTCACTACACTTAACTCATATCTCGAATTCTGGAAGGCACTGCAGTAAATATTTGTCATTTTTGGTAAGTGACCAAAGGACTGGGGATAATTGGAGGGCTAGATCACAGTCACATAACATGGCCCCCCTGCTCCTGGCAGGGGGACTGGGCTGTGGGGCTCTCTCTCCAGAGCACACAATTCTTGCCTGAGGTAGTAATGCCCAGCACCATGTATTTCACTTTTCTGGCACACTACATAAGTGGACTCTGTTTCTTTTGTTGTGGTTATAAAGTGCCACTGAGTCAGTTCTGACTCATTGCAACCCTGTACAGGGCTTCCAAGGCTATAAATCTTTGCAGGAGCTGAAAGCCTCATCTTTCTCCCTTGAGCAGCTGGTGTGCTCCAACTGCTGACTTTACAGTCCTACAGAGTCACCATGCTTCCCCTTTCTCTCTCGTTCTTTGTGTGTGTTAGGTGCCATCAAGCAGGCTCCAACTCATAGCAACCATATGCACACCAGAACAGAACCCTGCCCAGTCTGCCCATCCTCACAACGGTTACACTTGTGCCCATTACCACTGCCCCTGTGTCAGTCCATCTCATTGGAGGTCTTCCTCTTTTTTGCTCACTCTCCACTTTACCAAGCATGACCAGTCCCTCCTGATAACATGTCCAAAGTATGAGAGAGGAAGTCTCACCATTCTAGCTCCTAAGAAGCATTCTGGTTGTACTTCTTCCAATATGGACTTGTTTGTTCTTCTGGCAGTCCATGTGCTTTTAATATTCTTCTCCAACACCTAATGTAAATGTATTAATTCTTCCATAGTCTTTCTTATTCACTGTCCAACTTTCACGTGCATATAACACTATTGAAAATACCATGGTTTGGGGTCAGGCATACCATAGTCCTCAAACTGGTATCTGTGCTCTTGAACACTTTAAAGAGGTCTTATGCATCCGATTTGCCTAATGCAATCTGTTGCTATTAAGTGCCGTCCTATTGGTTCCAACTCATAGTGACCCTGTATAGCGTTACAAGGGGCAGCTTTTGTGTTTGAACAGCCAACCTTGTGATTAGTAGTCCAGTGCTTATTCTACCGAGCCATATTAGGACAACACGCCATTTGATAGTTTGACTGCTGCTTCCATTAGTGGTGAATGTGGATCCAAGCAAAATGAAGACTTTGACAATTTCAATCTTTTTTCATGTATCATGATACTATTTATTGATCCAGTTGTGAGGAGTTTCATTTATTTTTTAGACAGCATATGATTGGAATTTCTTGTTCCAACCAGAGGCACTTTTTAAAAGAGACATTTAAACCCATTTATTAGACTCTGTATACAAATGCTCAGTTTTTCTTTTATTATCTTATTTGGTAATTTTGATACTTTCTAGTGGTCTCTGCTTACCCTTTAGTTTTGAATCATAGGTTACATTGGCTGTTCCCCTTTCCACCCACCACACTCCAGTGGTTAGAAGTTTGTGTCCTGTTTTGATACTATAACTATCCGTTGCTACTAAATCAACATCTACTCATTGTGACTCCTTCTATGTCAGAATAGAACTGTGTTCCATAGGTTTTGGTTTTGTTTTTTTATATCTCAGACATCTTTTACACCTTGTGCCATGAATTCATAGGGAATAGTTCTGTCAGCTCAGGCTCTTTTCCATTGGTTGTCACAAAGTATGCCTGTCTGAGTGAAGCAGGTTGGAGCTTCGGGTGAACCCAGGTAACTTTCTCTTGGACTTCCTTGTTTTTCTAATCTTTTCGCTTCACCAAGAAGCCATCTTGTTTCTTAGAATGCTTAAAATGCTCAGTTCTCTTGGCAAGAATCTTGCTTCTAATTTATTCACAACAATGCCAATAACACGCTAAGTAGCATTTATTAAAGCTACAATCTTCCCGTTGTGCCATGGTAACATTTGTGGGGTATTCTTTTTTGAGTAATGCCCTTTCCCTTATCTATAATATCACCTTTCTTGTAGATCCACATGGATGTGACCAAAGGACCAATGCCAGGTTTTCTAAAAAAGCTGCAGAATGTATAGCAAGTGGTTTTTTCTTTCTTTTTTTTCTTGTGTTGTCATTTTGGCAGATTTGCAAGATGGCAGTTCCAGTCTAAAGGGTTTTCAGTGGCTAATTTTTTTGCCCCTGAAACAAATCTCCAGGCCTTTCTTCCTAGGTGCCTCTGGATGGATTCCAACCTCCAGTGTTTCAGTAAACACTGAGTGCATTAACTATACCACCCAGGATTTGTTAACCTCATTTCTCTATGTTTGAAATGAAAGATAATAGCAATCAATAGCTAATAAGTGAAATACTTTATAATTTACCAAGTGCTTTCAAAGGCATGATTTCATTTGTTTCTCTGACTGTCTGTCAAGTAATATTTTACTGTTATTTGAGTTTCGGAAATGATTTCAGCGCTCTGGCCAAAGGCAGTAGAGTTCCTGGCAGATTTCAGAGTCTACCCATGGCCTTTGAATGAAACCCAGCCTAGTTTCATCCCACTAGCCAGTTTCCCAGCCAGGAAGGATCACTGGTGGAGGCTGAAAGCTGGCCCCAGTGACCAGCTGCCTCTCTCAATGCCCAGTGGGCAAAGGAACCATGAAGATTGATGCTCGGTTCTGGAGTCCAAATAAAAGCCAGGGAGCCAGGCAGCTTCCTCTGTGCTCACCCCAAGCCAGACCTCAGCCACTCCACCTCCCCCAGGGATTAACCCCAGGAGGACAGTAAGGGCTGGAACACCCCTCCACCCCTGGCCTAGTGAAACTTGGCCCTGTAGACACTTGAGGTTGTGAAGCAAATGAAACCACCCCCTCCTAGAGCAGCCTCAACTTTAGACAGGTGTGAGGTTTTTTTTAGCATAAAAACTATACTAATTATACTAAAGATGTTGTTGTTAAGTGCCATTGAGTAAGTTCCAACCCATAGTGACCCTGTATAGGGTTTCCAAGGAGTAGCTGGTGAACTTGAACCACCGACCTTGTGGTTCAAATGACTTTGCAGTTCAGGGCATTAGCCCACAGTGCCACACCAGGAGTTCATACTAAAGATAATGACTGCTAATCTGAGAAAGGAGCCCTATAGGCACAGTGGTTACAAATTGGTCTGTGAACGGAAAAGTGAGATGTTCTGACCCACCAGCTGCTCCACGGGAGAAAGACGTGGCAGTCTGCTTCCGTGAAGATGTACAGTCTTAGAAAGCTCTCAGGGGGTAGTTCTGTTCTGTCCTGTAGGGTTGCTAAGAGTCAGAATCCACTCAGCAGGACTCAGAACAGTAGCCTGGAGCAGACTTCTTGCGTGCCATTTTCTATATGAAGTATTGAATTTGTCATCCCTGAATCCTTGCAACAGTGCTTTCAACTTTATGATCCACATTTTAACAAGTAGAAATTGAGAAAGGGAGACCAAAGTCATGCGGTTCTTAAGTGACAAAGTAAGAATTCACACTCAGGTCTGTCTGATGTTAAAGCAGGGATTTGTCACCAGTAAGCCCATCTGCCTACCCCCAACTTCCTTTTGCTCACACAGCCATTGATTCTCTTTCAGCTGCTTACCTTTTAAGAGAATTTCAACAAGAATTTGAAACAAAGGAGCATGAAGACCTCCAAGTGGAAGCATTTAAAAGCCTAGACAAATTTCCTGCTTCTGTTGATGGAGATGGTAAAGAAATTGTTTATCATTGATGTTGTCGGCCACATTGCCCCTAACATACATCGATTAGCTGATGAAGCTTATTTTTCTTTCTCTGTATTAGACAGTCAAGAACCCCTAAGACAGAGCTCTCTAGAAGACACTGAAGGAGTCAAAATGAAGTCAGAAAAAGGTTCACATAATCAAAGGGTCAAAAGTGATAAAGAAGGTAACAAAATGAACCTCAAGTGCCATTTAGTTCATTTCCATTTATTTCGTATTTGATCTTATGTTTACAGTAAGCTTAAAATTACATGAACACATGAATGGAAACATCAGAGGGAAAAAAGCTAGCTAGTTCAAAAGTAAATCTACTAGAATGAGCATGAAAACATAAAATAGGGAGTCAAACACAATTAGAGCCCAAAGAAAATTTTTGAATGATTTTAAACAAGATAGCCTCATTTTTATGGGATGCAAATTCTTTCTTCAAAACTCTCTCAGTCCCTTTAATGTGCTGCTGGAATAAGAGCACCGTAAGCCCAGAGTTTTAACTGTGAAATTTTATCATATAGTGTTATATATCGTATAAAATGTTCCTTTTCTTATTTTAGCATAATTGTGAGCATATGCTATAAATTGTTTCTACCTTTTTTAATGTAGGCAAAATAATAAACATTTTAACATTTAACTATAATATGATATTGCTTCATTAGGAAATACATTAAACTGTTTGTTGGTAAGTGTCATCAACTTGTTTCCGACTCATAGCGATTCTGTCTATACACAATAGAACAAAATTGTTCAGTCCTACACCATCCTCACAATTCTCGTCCTGTTTGAACCCATTGTCACTGCCACCATGTCAGTCCATGTCCTTGGGGGCTTCCTCTTTTTCACTGACTCTCTACTTTTCCAAGCATGATGTCCTTCTCCAAGAACTGGTTTCTTCTGAGAGCATGTCTCACCATCCTTGCTTCTAAGGAGTATCCTGACTACTTCTTCCAAGACAGATTTGTCTGTTCATTTCACAGTCCATGGTACTTTCAGTAATCTTCACCAACACCATTGATTTTTCTAGTCTTCAGCTTCAGTCTGAACTTGCATGTGAGTAATTAATGGTCTGCTCCACAGTCAGTTCCTGCCCGTGTTTTGGCAGATAATATTCAGCTTCTCCACAGTCGAATTCCACAACTATTGTCAATTTGACTCCTAATTCCATCTGGTGAGGTACACATGTATGTTGTTGTTGTTGTTAGGTGCCATCAAGTTAGTTCTGACTCATAGCCACCCTATGCAAAACAGAAAGAAACACTGCCCAGTCCTGTGCCATCCTCACAAGTGTTGTTACACTTGTGCCTGTTGCTGCTTTGCACTGTACCAATCCATCTTATTGGAGGTCTTCCTCCTTGTCACTGACCCTCCACTTTACCAAGCATGATGTCCTTCTCCAGGGGCTGTTCCCTCCTGATAATATGTCTGAAGTATGAGAGATGAAGACATCGATTAAGTTCTGACCCATAGCGACCCTGTATAGGGTTTCCAAAGAGCAGCTGGTGAGCTTAAATTGCCAACCTTGCAGTTCAAACAACTTTGCAGTCTGGCACATTAACCCACAGCACGACACCAGGACTCCAGCTATAGACAGAGTAAAATTGTTTTGGCATGAAAGTCCCAAATTATGTTAGTTTCAGTAAAATACAAAATACAGATAATCCATTCCTTAGTTGCTTTTAAAATATTTTATTTCCTTATTTCTGAAGTTAATATTTTAATATTTACTGTTGTTCTTAGGTGTCATCGAGTCGGTTCTCACTCAGAGCAACCCTATACAGGGTTTTCAAGAAGGAGCTGTTGAGTTGCCAATCTTGTGGTTAGCAGTCCAGTGCTTATTCTATAGTGCCACACTAGGACCCATATTTTAATATTAATTGCTTATATTTCTTCTTTTTGAGGTGACCATACTTATCTCTCGCTCATTTTTTCCAAATTGCATATTGATTATATGGTCTATCTGTATTTCAAATCCACCAACCACTCCTCGGAAACCCTATACAGGGTCACTATGAGTTGTAACTATTTCAACAGCACTTAACAACAACTATCACAATATACTTTTTTTTTTAATTAGACTTATTTTTCACTTTTCCCCCAAATTCTATGTTTTGTCTTTTAAATAAGCTTGCTATTTTAGAAATAGATATTTTCCTTATTTTTTAGTAAGTAATTAATTTTCCTTTGTTGATTTCTTTTTATTATTGTTTTATTGTTATAAAAATAACACTTGCCAATTTAACATTTTTCGCAAATGAATTTCAGGAATATTGGTAATATTCGTCAGGTTATGCAGCCATTATCACTATCTGCTTCCAAAACATTCTACCAGCATTAGCAGAAACTCAGTGTTCCTTAAGCTAAGACTTCCTTTTTCCTTCTTCCTCCTACCCTTGAAAAACTTTGGTTTCTAACAAGCTAAAAAACACAGAAAACAAAATTGTTGCTGTTGATTCATTTCCATCTCAAAGTGAAATTATAAGACAGACTAGAACTGACTTATAGGAGTCCTGGTGTGGTGCTATAGTTTAAGCCCTAGACTGCAAACTACAAGGTTGACAGTTCAAACCCACCAGTTGCTTCTTGGAAACCCTAAACAGAGTTTCTATGAGTCAGAATTGATTTGATGGCACTTAACAGCAACAATAATAAATAGGATTTACAAGTTTGTAAGTTTTTATAGAAGCAGACTAACACATATCTCTGAGAAGCAGCTGGGGTGTTTGAACTGCTGACCTTTCAGTTAGCAAACAGACCTTTCAGTGATTCACCATTTGCCTCTTTCATATAAGTGGCATCCTATAATATTTGTCCTTTTGTGACTGACTTATTTCATAATGTTTTCTACATTCATCCATATTGATGCTATCAATAAATGGTAGAATTCTCCAGTGAAGCCACATGCTCTAGGATTTTCTTTGTTGGGAGGTTTCTGATCCCTGTTTCAATCTCTTCACTTGTTCTGGATCTTTTGAGGTGTCCTACAGGGAAGCCCAGTTAATACCACCATTATTCAAATTTAAGTACCAACCACTAAAGCCAGTGAGGATGAAATAGAAGAATTCTACCAATTTCTTCAATCTGAAATTGAACGAACATGCAATCAAAATGTGTTGATCATTACTGGTAATTGGAATGCAAAGATTAGGAGCAAAGAGGTAATATCAGTAGTTAGGAAATATGGCCTTGGTGATAGAAATGATGCTGGAGAACGCATGATAGCATTCTGCAAAATCAATAATTAGTTCATTTCAAATACTTTCTTTAGACAGCATAAGAGATGGCTATGTACATGGACCCCACCAGATGGAATACATAGAAATCAAATAGACTACATCTGCGGAAAGAGAAGATGGAAAAGCTCCATATCATCAGTGAAAACAAGGCCAGGGGCAGACTGTGGAACAGACCATCAATTACTCATATGCAAATTCAAACT